TGTTGAATTCTGCAAGTCTTTCATGTTATGTGTGACTTGATTGCTATAAAATAAGCAAACACTCGATTTGTGAAGTAGTTCAAAATAGGGCGCCATTGGACTCACTTATTGAGCAATAAGGATGTGTGACAAGGAGAAGCTCGTAAATACCATTGGATAATTGAGTTAAATTGCAGCTCCCATAATTAAGTCACAAATCTCTATTAGATTTGCAGTGAATCTGGCAACAGATTGGAGGATAAACCTCGGTGCGGAAGTAAAAATGACGACAGCGGAAGGTTACCTTGGTATTACGCAGGTGGATTTCTACTGTTTTGGGGTCTACTCTTTTTCGCCGTGGTTATACCATATTTATATCGCTTGCCCACGGCGCTGACGATAGAGGACGTGAAAAGCCACGAGTTCATTGCGGAACGTGCTTATAAAAATCTCTATTATCTGTCGAATATTGGAACCAAAATGGTTGGCTCGAAGCAAAATGAGATTGATGCTGTGCAGTACCTCCTGAAGGAGCTCAACCAAATTAAGGAAGACTCGCTTAAGGATTACTTTGACATTGAAATTGACTTATCAGAGGTGTCCGGCCAATTTGTATATGAGAACGTAAACAGCTTGTACCTCCACGTTCAGAATATTGCCGTCAAAATTACTCCGAAGGACAGCCACAGCCAGTCATATCTGCTCGTCAACAGCCATTTCGACTCTAAGCCAGAAACTCCCTCTGCCGGGGATGCCGGCTTCATGATAGTCACAATGCTGGAAGTGCTGCGAACTCTGGCCACCACAGAGCAAAGCTTTCGGCACCCGATCGTCTTCTTGTTCAATGGGGCTGAAGAAAGCTCCATGCTGGCCTCCCATGGCTTTATCAACCAACACAAATGGGCACCGAACATCAAGTGAGTTGTACTTTATAGAAATTCTTGCTTATTTCTTGCATTATTACCTCATCAATATTTTCGCAGAGCTGTTGTCAATCTGGACGCGGCTGGAAGCGGTAGCAGAGAACTTCTGGTTCAATCTGGACCTGATCACAACTGGCTTTTGGGCGTAAGTATAGTCAATGTAATCAATCCTTATCTAATTTCGTCATTTATTAACAGTACTATAATAAATATGCCAAACATCCATTTGGCACAACATTGAACGAGGAAATCTATCAGACTGGAGCTCTGCCCTCTGATTCGGACTTTACTATCTTTAAAGATCATATTCCAGGTAGGTTAAGAATAATCTTCGAAATGAGAATACAACTCACATGACTGCATCTATATGTGCTTATAGGCTTGGACTTTGGCCAGGCCATTAATGGCTTTGTCTACCATACCAAGTATGATGTGATCGATGTTATTCCTCGAGAGTCCTTACAGAATACCGGCGATAATGTGCTCAGCATAATTCGAGGACTGGCAGATGCAGACGAATTAGAGAACATGGAGGTAAACTTATCTAACTGAAAATTGAAACTGGTTAATTGGTTATAAAAAAAACTTTATAGGCACACAAAACTGGGCGCGGCATCTACTTTGACTTCCTGGGAATTACTTTTATATATTACTCAGAGGCGACAGGAACAGCTCTTAACTTTGGCGTCGCCGGAGCTGCGCTCCTCTTTGTCTTCATCTCAATGTGGCGCATGGCAGTTATATCCAATGTCTCGATATGTCACGTGCTGCGCTGGTTTATATTGGTGCTCAGCATCCAGTTAATTTGCTTCGCACTTGGACTGGCACTTCCCATAGTGGTGTCGATTGTAATGGATAATGCGGGACTGTCGCTGACTTTCTTCAGCACGCCGATGCTGATGATCGGCCTGTATGTCTGCCCCTCGCTGATTGGCCTCAGTTTGCCCATTACCGTCTATTACAGTATTCAGTGCAACGTGAGTAATTCATGTGTTAAGCTGCTTCCCAAACATTCATTGAAGAGTTTTTCATTTTTTTTTTTCATTTCCAGGAAAAGATTTCCAGGGGTTATCATCTGCAGCTCGCACTGCATGCCCAGGCCGTCATATTGGCTGTTCTCATTATTTGCCTGACGTCATTCGGCTTGCGTTCCACATACGTCCTAATGATACCCCTTCTTTTCTATGTCGTATCTCTGGTATTGAACTTGTTGATCACTCTGCACGACCGGGGCTATGCCTGGACTGGTCTGCTGAAGGTCAGCCAGATAATTCCCTTCCTCTGCAGCAGCTACGTCTTCTATCTATTCATTGTCGTGCTCGTGCCGATGACTGGACGCTCTGGCAGTGCAACTAATCAGGACTTATTTATTGCAGTTCTCTCTGCGATTGGCACAACTCTGTCATTTGGTTTCCTGGTCAGTTTGCTTTGCCATTCAACTTATTTTAGTCAAATACTAATAATTTTATTTACTCAGATCCCACTGATAAATACATTGCGAAGGCCCAGTTTAGTTATATTCACTCTGATTGCAATCACTTCCGTCTCCGTGTACTTGGCCAGTAGCACTCACCTAGGATTCCCCTATCGACAAAGGACTAACGGACAAAGAGTTGCCTACCTGGTAAGCTTCCCATTAGTATAATTGCATCTATAAAATCTGTAAAATCTATAAATCTATTAAATTCCAGCAAGTTCGAAACATGTTTTACGAATTCGATGGCACACTTAGTAAGGATGAGTCTGGCTACTTGTTTAACTTCCAGGACAGACGGGAGGAGAAACCACTTTTGGGCACGAATGTCAACTTGACGGGATTAACTAGCATCAAATCGAGATGCGAGAAGCACATGATGTGTGGCATGCCGTTATACGATTTCCGATACGTGAAGAATCGGCTGCAGAGCAAATGGTTGCCAAGGTCAGAGCCCATTGAGCCTCCGGGATCGACTGTATTGAAAATGCTGAACAAAACTTATCTGAAATCAACCACGGTGCGATTCGAGTTCTCTTTATCGGGTCCTGCTCAAATGAGTTTATTTTTCGAGCCCTACGAAGATGTCACGATCACCAATTGGACATTTACAGAAGACTACCTTCAGAATCCGCCGCCCTTTCCTTTGTCCTATCACATCTACATTAATTACGGAATTGGCAATTCGCCTTTGAAGTTTTTCATCGATTTAACGGTAAGTGATTTGGAAATAATCGTAGGCGGATTCCATTAAATATTCCTTTTTATAGAAACAAAATGGAAACTTCAAGATGCCCCTTCTTCAAGTGGGAGTGTCGGGACACTTCGTAGGCGCTGCAGGAGATGCCATAAGCCAGGAGTTCGCATCTTCATTCCCATCCTATTCAATTGTGGCGACGTGGCCAGCCTTGTACCAGAGATATATATTTTAAAATAGTTGCACAATAATGTTAGCCTTAGATTAAATTATTTGTACGCACACGAATAAATATGTAATAATAGGTTTACCATTAGCCAATCAATTATTTGCTAAAAAAATGGAAATTTACATATGTATATGAAGCTACTAAATATTGTGGGCTCTGACATAAGTCAGAACTTTTATTTTGTTTTAAATATATTGGGACATTTTGTATATTTCATTTATAGTACTTTTCTATGCATTATAGACTCACCTAGTTGCTGCTAAAAAAGGTTTCCTGGAAATCAATTCATGTGTATATTTTCCATAAATTTTGTTTTGTCATGATGATATAATATACCATATAAGGTTAGTGTAGATGTCTTTGACTTCTTTTTAATATTCTTATATTTGGTATCGGCCTGTTTTCTTTGTATCACTCGATCAATATTGGACATTGAATAGTCCATTATGGAATATGCCATTGCAATGGTTTTGTAGATGTTAGACACAAGTAAATTAGTTATTGAGTGGGTTACTCTATTAATTTACGCATAGAAGCTTTTAATCGACTTTAATTAGAGCTCGACAGTTGAATTACACTATTTATTATCCTGTGACGTTTTAAATTTAAAAGAATAAAATATTATTTATTCAACCATTTTTTTCCGCAAACGAAATTTATAATTAATATATTTGTAATTTAACGCGACTTTTTCCGTGCCCGTTTACACTAAACTCTATTGCGGCCTTTTTCTCCGAGCGGCAGTCACAGTATACTAAGCCTAAGAATAGTTAGGCAGTTCTTTCACGACATTTGGTCCCCTAAAAAATTCAGATTTTATCACTCTGCTGCTAATGATATACATACATATATAAGGAGCACGCGATACACCCGCTTTCCCCCTTCTATTACACTACATATTTTCGATATCAAGTGCTATCGCATAATAAAATCATTCCATGTACCTACATGAACAAGCCATTAACGCATAAATCTATTGCCCAAATAAAAATGAAGTGTTTCGATAAGCTTTAAGTTTCTAGTTGAGGTTTCAGGTATCGTTCGTCTATAATATAGGCACATCAGAGCAAATAATCACATTGACTGTTAATTGCTTTATCATGAAAATTTGCTATACACATGAGTTATATAACTGCCAAGTTGTAAAGGAAATATACTAAATACAAATAAAATAATACAATTTAAAATAATTTAATAATCAGATGATGTATATACTATATATAATACACTATAATATAGTATATAACTATACCCTAAAAAAGAGCTTCCTATCTTTACTTTTCCTATATCTACATTGCACTCATTATTGTGAACATTTTGAAAATAAAGCAGTTTCAATATATGACTTTATTGACCAGATATCAACCGTTAGACTTGAGTAAATCGTTTTAAGAGCATTGTTTTACAATATCTTGCGCATGATTATTGCAGCTTTTGAATCATATTATTTTAGCCGGGAGTGCCAAGCGTTGAGATACCCTAAGCGTACAATATGTAGAAATATAGAAATTTAACATTTAATGTCTCTAGCTTTAGTTATCAAACTTTGCTAATCAGTATATATACCGATCAAGAATTATACGATACCTTTTTCTGCCTGGAACATACATTATCCAAAAACATTATACCCTGTATTGGAATTTTCAATGGGCTCGGCATATAAAAATGGTCTACATTGCCTTTTGCCAAGCAGTTTAATTTTACTTCTGCAGACAAGTAGTCATAGACCAACATGGCTGACAAGGAGAGCCTTGTAAGATCCACAAGGAATGGAAATCGATTTAAATTCACTGAATTTCTGTATTACTGTATTGTCCTGCATAGATCTCCGTTGAATCTGTCGAAGCGGCTCGATATGTGGCCAAAAATAAGACTGATTCCAAGCTGCCATGGTACTTTGCCACTGGCTTTATACTCTTCTGGGTACTTCTCTTCTTTGCTGTTGTGATCCCGTTTTTCTATCGCTTGCCCACGGCGCTCACGCTGGAGGACGCGCAGGAGAATGAGTTCATTGCTGAGCGGGCCTACAAGGATCTGTATACGCTCTCCAATATTGGCAACAAGTTGACTGGCAGCAAGCAAAATGAGATTGATGCAGTGAATTTTATTCTAAGCACCCTGGCAGAAATCAAGGACAATCTGCAAAGCGATTACTTCGATATGGAAATCGACCTATCACAGGTTTCTGGAGCTTTCGGCACTGGGACTACGCGACAAGTCTACCAAGGTGTTCAGAACATTGTTGTTAAGCTAACGCCAAAGCAGAGCTCGAGCCAGTCATATCTGCTCGTCAACAGCCACTTCGACTCCAAGCCAGCGACTTGGTCTGCGGGCGATGCGGGCTTTATGATAACTGTTATGTTGGAGGTTCTGCGCGTCATAGCCACAACAAAGCAACACTTGGAGCATCCCATTGTCTTTCTATTTAATGGTGCTGAAGAAATCGGACAGCTAGCCTCACATGGCTTCGTAACTCAACACAAATGGGCCCCAAACTGCAAGTGAGATCAGTAATTTAGCAGGACATTTATGTATATACGAATGAATATGAATATTGTGAATTTTCTAGAGCTGTAGTCAATCTTGATGCTGCGGGAAGCGGAGGTCGGGAAATTCTCTTTCAAACTGGACCAAACCATCCGTGGCTTGTTGAGGTAAGGCACTGCCAATAGCATTTTCTGTTCATAGCTTAACCATCTATTTTCAGTACTACAAAAAATATGTGAAACATCCCTTTGGTACTACGGTTGCAGAGGAAATTTTCCAAGCTGGCATTATTCCGTCCGACACAGACTTTCGACAGTTTCGCACGTATGGCAATATTCCAGGTAAGCCCATTTGAGTTTGCGATCACAACAAAGTTATGCAGCAATAACTATTACTAATAGGCTTGGATATGGGTCAATGTTTCAATGGATTTGTTTACCACACCAAATACGACCTTATCGATGTGATTCCTCGGGAATCGTTTCAGAACACGGGCGATAATGTGCTCAGTCTGGTTAGAGCATTGGCCAATGCACCCGAATTATATGACACTAAGGTAAGAATTTGCTTTGATTGGATTGGATTAGATTGGACAAATTTGTATTATCAATAAATATTATTTTCTCTTAGGCACATGAGGCTGGTCACACTGTCTACTTCGATTTCCTGGGACTATACTTATTTAATTATCCAGAAGCTACGGGCACAATATTGAACTATGGCGTTGCAGCAGCTACATTGATATTGATTTTCATTTCAATGTGGCGCATGACAGCCGTTAGCAACGTCTCAATTTCTCAGATCGCCTGCTGGCTTACATTGGTCCTCGTCGTTCAGGTTATATGCTTTGTACTCGGTCTTGCACTTCCTTTGATAGTTGCGCATCTATTCGATAATTGGGGATACTCGCTGGCATATTACAGCACTCCATTGCTGGTGATTGGTCTGTACGTCTGTCCCTCGCTGATTGGCCTCAGTTTACCGCTGACAATATATTTTGCGGTACAGCGCAATGTGAGTTCCGTTATTCAGTTAATCTTAAACATTTCGTAATTAATTTTCAATTTTCTTTAGGATAAAATATCAAATGGCTACCATGTACAATTGGCACTGCACGCTCAAGCGATTCTACTAACTCTATTAACTATAGGTCTTACCGTCATTGGCATACGCTCAACGTACGTGGTCGTGATTCCGCTGATCTTTTACGTGCTACCGTTGGCATTGAATTTATTGACTACTCTGCACGATCGCAGCTATGCCTGGACGGGTATCCTCAAAGTGAGCCAAATAATACCCTTCCTATACAGCAGCTACGTGATCTACACTTTCGTGGTGGTGCTCACACCAATGGGTGCACGTGCAGGCAGTGCCTCGAATCGGGACTTGTACATTTCTGTGCTCGCAGCCGTAGGAACTATTCTTTCGTTTAGTTTCTTGGTATGTGTGCTAAATAGATCTATTAAGTGCTTACTCTGACACCTTTTGTTTAAAGGTTCCACTTATCAACACCTTTCGAAGACCCAGTCTCGTCATTCTCGCTCTGATCGGAATTACGGCTCTCTCCATGTTCTTGGCGAGCAGCACACAACTCGGATTCCCCTACCGACCCAAGACTAATGGACAACGAGTTGCCTATCTGGTGAGTATTCTTAAGGCTATTCAGCAAGCATTCAGTATCTCTAATCTACTTTATTCCAGCATGCGCGAAACATCTTTTACGAGTACGACGGCACTCGCAGCAAGGACGAGTCGGGCTATCTGTTTAGTTTTCAGGACAGACGCAAGGAAACACCATTCAACACAAAAGTGAATCTAACTGGATTGGTCGACCTGAAGGAGAGTTGCGAGCAGCACATGCTCTGTGGCATGCCATTATATGAGTTTCGTTACGTGGAAAATCGATTCCAGAGCAAATGGCTGCCTCGACAGGAGCCAGTTGAGCCACCAGAGCAAACCACCTTGACTTTGCAAAACAAAACAGTTGTGGATGCAACAACTATCCGCTTTGAATTCAGCTTGAAGGGGCCCACTTTCATGAATTTGTTTATCCAGCCCGACGAGGATGTGACCCTATCTGATTGGTCGTTTGGGAACAGTAGTGATATAGAACCAACTAAGGATTTGCCATATATTGTCTTTATTGTGATGGGCGCCGATAGATCCGCTTTGTTGTTTTACTTGGAATTCTCGGTAAGATATAAAGCAAATGAATAGAATCGATGGCTTTATTGTTCAATATTTCAGAAACAAAACGGCAATTTCGATGTACCCCTGTTTCAGTTGGGGGTAGCTGCGCACTCCATTCTGAATGAAGGCGATGCTGAAAGCAAGAAGTTTGCTGCCTCATTTCCCTCATACTCCATTTTGTCGCAATGGCCAGCATTGTATCTGAGATACATTTTTTAAAAAGAATAAATTTGTTTTATGAAAACATAAAATTTTAATACATATATATGTGTAAGACTTTACCTTATTTATTTTAGTCTAAGAAATAGGGAATATAATATTATGGTCACAAATTTGTATTTATAAATATTTGGTAATGCAAAAATTAAAATTTTATAGTTCTGTTGCTAATGATATTCATGCAAAGTACTCAAAACACCTGTCCATATAAACACATTCCACCATAATTTCGATATTGATTGTTATCGGATAACAAAATCATTTTATATACACGATCAAGTTATTAGCTCATAAATCAATTACCCAAATAAAAGTGGAGTGTGTCGATAAGCTACAAGTTTCTAGTTGAGGTTTCAGGCATTGCTCGTATATACAGTCGCATCAAAATACATATATCTTATTTAGTTATGCTCTTATTGATAGTGTTGAGTACATTTAATAAGTAGTCTAGAGTGTTTCTATATCACACATTTTCACAATCATAATTAGCTTCTGAATAATATAATGCCATCACTTTAAGCGAAGCTAATTAAACAGTTAGAGAGAACATAAAAATATTTATATAAGTAAATGCATTTTATAAACTACTTATTTCAAAATTTAATATATATGATCGTTCACAATCTTTGACTTATATTTATAACAAGTACTCAACTAGAAATCTATTGATAAAATTCAAATGGGGCTCCTGAAAAGTTAACAGTTTCTATTCAATGAATATTATAATGAATTAAATTCAAAAAACAAAACAAAAATACAAGTTTGCTTAATAAATATGAACAATGGTTTTCTATATAATAATCAATTTATTTAAATATAATTAATAGTTAAATGCCATCTAATGTACTTATTTTCTACTGAGCAACCCTCGCTACCAATGCAATGGCTATCGATGAGTCTATAACTCTAGTTTATACATATTATATATCAAATAATTTATTGAAAATGATAATGATTTTGCACACTTAAGAGTCAATACATACTTCAGCACAACAGTTGGCATTTGGCAGTCATTGGAGACAGCATGGCTGACAGGGAGAAACTCGTAAGCAAAACAATATAAAGTCCGCAATTTGTCCCGACATTGCAATATTTGTTAATTTCTAGATTTCTGATGCTTCCTTTGGGGCTCCAGCAAATGCTCACAAGAAGAAAGACAGCGCAGGGCTGCCCTGGTGTTTTGCGAGTGGCTTCCTATTGTTTTGGGTACTTTTGTTCTTTGCCGTAGTAATTCCGTTTTTCTATCGCTTGCCCACGGCTCTGACAATCGATGACGCGAACAATAATCAATTTATAGCACAGCGTGCATACAAACAGTTGTACAGCTTATCTAATATAGGTCTGAAAATGCTTGGCAGTAACGGAAATGAGATCGAGGCTGTGCAGTTCCTGCTGAAGGAGTTAAACCAAATCAAAGAAGCTGCGCTGCAAGATTATTTCGATATGGAAATCGATCTATCACAGGCCTCTGGAACTTTTGCCCTGAAACATTCACTGCGAGTCTACCAAGGGGTACAAAATATTGCCGTGAAGCTAACGCCCAGAAACAGCTCGAGTGAGTCCTATCTCCTCGTGAATAGTCACTTCGATTCCAAGCCAGCAACTCCGTCAGCTGGCGATGCCGGCTTTATGATTGTCACAATGCTGGAAGTTCTGCGTATTATTGCAACAACAAAACAAACTATCCAGCATCCAATCGTATTTCTATTCAATGGTGCTGAAGAAGGTGCTCTCGAGGGCTCGCATGGCTTTATAACGCAACACAAATGGGCGTCGAATTGCAAGTGAGACTTACAAACAACAAGAATAAGAACACAGAAGAATTAACATTCCTTAATTGTAGAGCCGTCGTTAATCTCGATGCTGGGGGCAGTGGTGGGCGAGAGGTACTATTTCAGAGTGGACCCAATCACCCATGGTTGGTAAACGTAAGCTTAAAATGCGAGAAAGTTCGTATAACATATTGATAACAATCGTGTTTCGCAGTATTACAAAAAATATATTAAATATCCCTTCGCTACAACTATGGCGGAGGAAGGTTTCCAGTCGGGCACAATCCCATCGGATACAGACTTTCGACAGTTCAACAAGTATGGCAAACTACCAGGTAAGAGCTATGCGTTTATCTATGGAACATTCACACTAAAACTCTAACTAACTAGGCTTGGATATGGCGCAATGCATAAATGGCTTTGTATATCATACAAAGTACGACGTGATTGACATAATTCCGCTAGAGTCCCTCCAGAACACTGGCGATAATATTCTCAGCTTGGTGCGAGGTTTGGCCAATGCAACAGAACTGCACGATACAGAGGTAAGGCTGGATATCAAATATTATTATATTTACTCAACTTATATTCATCATATATATAGGCACACGAGGCTGGTCACGCAGTCTTCTTCGATTTCCTGGGCCTCTATTTCATCCATTATTCAGAGACAACGGGCATATTTATAAATCTTGCTGCTGCTGCAGCTGCCTTGATTTTTGTATTCCTATCGATGTGGCGCATGTCGGCTGTCTCCCATGAATCATTTTCGATTGTGGCACACAGTTTTATATTCATTTTGATCATTCAGACGATCTCCTGCGTACTCGGTCTGGCACTTCCCCTAATTGTGGCACATGTAATGGATAATTGGGAACTTTCGCTCACTTACTATAGCAGCCCCCTGCTGCTGATCGGCTTATATGTAAGCCCATCACTTATTGGTCTTAGCTTGCCCTTGACTATCTATTTTTCATTTCAACACAACGTAAGTCTATTAAACCCCCTAACTCAAACATTTGTTAAATTTTACTCTCTTTATTAGGCTAAAATATCAAGATCCTATCAGCTTCAATTGGCATTGCATGGTCAGGCTGTTGTCCTGGCTGTCTTAACAATTGCTCTTACGGCTTACGGATTGAGAACTGCGTATGTGCTGGTGATTCCACTTATATTCTATGTGCTAGCATTGGCCTTGAATTTATTAACTACGCTGCATGATCGAGGCTTTGCATGGACAGGTTTGCTGAAGGTCAGCCAGATAGTTCCATTCCTGTACAGCAGCTACCTCTTCTACTTCTTTATTGTGGTGCTGACTCCAATGGGTGGTCGTTCATTTAGTTCATCGAACCCGGACATAAGCATTGCTCTCCTAACCGCAGCAGGAACGATATTTTCATTTGGTTTCTTGGTAAGTCATATATGCAAATGTCTTATTAATGCTAATCAATGGAATGATTTACAGGTACCACTAATCAACACTTTTCGGCGTCCCAGCTTTGTGGTGCTCACTTTAATTACTGCCACGGCTCTTACTTTGTACCTAGCCAGTAGCACGCACATCGGATTTCCTTATCGAGCCAAAACCAATGGACAGCGAGTTGCATATTTGGTGAGTATCGAATAGAAACTTACATATACATATGTAGTACCATAACTTTTCTCGTTTCAGCAAGTACGAAATATATTCTACGAATACGATGGAACTCTCAGCCGGGATGAGTCTGGTTATTTGTTTAACTTTCAAGATCGACTCAAGGAGAAGCCACTCCTGGGCACAAGCGTGAATTTGACCGGCTTGATAAGTCTTAAATCGAAATGCGAGCAGCATATGATGTGTGGCATGCCCTTATATGATTCGACTTATGTCCTGAATCGCCATGAAGCCAAATGGTTGCCCCGCCTTGATCCTATCGAGCCGCCGGCGCGGACAGAGCTTAGCCTGCTAAGCAAAACCATTCAGAATACCACAACTGTCCGATTTGAGTTCAATTTAACGGGTCCGCCTCAAATGAAACTGTTTATCCAACCCTATGAAGATGTCTTACTGAGCAACTGGTCCTTTTTGCAAATCTATCTAGAGACCCCATTAGTACCGCCCCTGCCTTACTTTATCTCATTTAGCTATGGCATAGATAGGTCCCCATTGCACTTCTTCTTGGAATTTACGGTGAGTTGAGATATGAATGGCTACGAATTTTATTAAACTTTATCTTCGTTTCATAGAAACCGAACGGAGACTTTGATGTGCCGTTGTTCCAGCTGGGCGTATCTGGTCACTATATCGGCCATCAGGGTGATGCGCAGAGTGCAAAATTCGCATCTTCGTTTCCCCCATATGCAATTCTGGAGCAGTGGCCCGCACTTTACCAGCGATTCATATTTTAAATGAAAGTCAAAATGATTGAATGGACGAAAAAGTGTAGAGTAGACTGGAATAAACATACAAGCAAATAATCCTAAAAATATAATATTAATGAAGATTCACAGTTCTCTTAAAATTTAAAGCATACTTTTAGGGTTACTTTTATTTCTTTGAAATGTACGAGTATTGCGACCAAGTAAAATAATAATAAATAATAAAAAAATTACAGAACATTCATAAATGTCTAAAGAGTTTAAATTATTAATTATATACATATAAAAATTAAATACATTTATATACATATTTTCACTGTGTACTTTATGATTTGATAGCTAATTTGTCGATAGTTAAAATTTGCTTAATAGACTCAAACTCAACAACAACTCAAAACTCAACAACTTTCTATGCCTTTCACAGCCGAATAATATTCAATATTGATTAAGATGAGGAGAGAAGGGACAAATAAATAAGTATGCGCCTATGTATGGACTGGCAATTAATGCCGATATATAATATAAAAATGCTATTGCTCTTCAGTCTGCGATCCATTTAAAGAAAAAATTATAATACTCTCTGATAAGATGATAAGTATTGATAAGTGAAACGCCAGGTACACTGATGTGAATATTTAAGTCTGAGCTCACTTAGATACAGCGACATAATTGCCAATTGGGCTCTTTGTTAAAATAAAAATATAAATGGGCTCTATCATGATAATAATATTATTTTACACTGTTCGACAAAATTTAATTTTATTAGGATATAAATTCTTTGTGCATTCAACTCTAATTTTTCTTAGCTCCTGAGTGGATCCGTATTCCAGTTTATACTCTAAACCTATGTATTCCCTAATGTATTTTACGCAAACTCTGCTTGAACTGATTCAAAAGCATGCTTATATACGAGCGGATTTCCATGAGGATCCGGAGTCCGTCGATCTCTATCACCAAGTTTCTGACAAAGCAGATATCCCTAGTCCATCTTCATATCACTTAGTTTCAGAACAAGGAAGTACTAGAAGTCTATCATTCAACTATTCAAAGTAAATCTTTGTTGCTCAGTGTTATTGGGTATAATTTGATATGGGAACATCATTAAAGACGCGCAATTAAAGCACTATATAATAAAAACATTAAATATGAGCACAGATAAAAGCAGAATAATCTCTATTGATGAATAAGTATATGAATAAGTATATTTGTATAATAATACAAATGGGTATATATACACTTTGGGGAACTTTCTTTCTTTCATTCCTATATATATGAGAATTAATTGTAATAATATAGAATTCATATTAATAATTATATTCGTCTATTGCTCGTCTACATTATATGATTTGATTGTCACTCCTTCCCGCAATCTTGGATAGCCAAACGTGAAGCAACGTTACCGAAACGTGAAGCAATCAATGAATTGGGCCTATAAAGTATATCTTTTTAAATTGCCATTTTAAAATTGTGAATTTGATTACTTTTTTGACAACTATAAAAGCGGCCTTCAATTGCCTAAGATCCATAGTGCTCATTGGGAAGTTCTTGGGATCACATCAGCAGGTTAGAACTTCAGCTAGGAGCAGCATGGGTGACAAGGACAAGTTGGTAAGAGACTTTTTAAATGCTAATAAGTCAATTTCCTAAAGTTAAGCTATTAATATTATATAGATATTGGCAGAGTCTGCCGAAGCTCTCAAAAATGTGAACGAAAAGGAGTCGAGCTCAAAAGCCCCTTGGTATTTTGCGAGCGGCTTCCTTTTGTTCTGGGGACTTCTCTTTTTTGCTGTGGTAATTCCCCGCTTCTATAAGCTACCCACGCCGTTGACAATGGAGGACGCAAAGAGAAATGTATTCATAGCTGAGCGGGCCTACAACAATCTGTACACTCTGTCCAATATCGGCAACAAATTGACTGGCAGCAAGCAAAATGAGGTGGATGCAGTCAATTTCCTTCTAAGCGAGCTTGCACAGATCAAGGAAAATCTTCAAGAAGATATTTTCGAAATGGAGATTGATGTGTCAAAAGTATCCGGATCGTTCCCGTACAAAACCGTGCTGAACATGTACCGAAACGTTCAGAGCATTGTTGTGAAATTGACGCCGAAAGCAAGCAACAGTGAGAACTATCTTCTGGTGAACAGCCACTACGACTCCAAGCCATACACTGCATCTGCCGGAGATGCGGGCTTTATGATCGTCACGATGTTGGAGGTTCTGCGTGTGATTGCCTCCACTAAACAAACCCTAGAGCATCCGATAGTCTTTCTATTCAACGGAGCTGAAGAGAATATGATGCAAGCAAGTCATGGTTTCGTAACACAACACAAATGGGCATCAAAGTGCAAGTGAGTAATTTAGGTTACTGTTTAATAGGAATTATGTTTTAATTCATACACAATCACCACCTAATAGAGTTGTCGTCAATCTTGATGCTGCTGGCAGTGGAGGTCGGGAAGTCCTATTCCAAAGTGGCCCCAACCACCCTTGGCTAGTCAATGTAAGTTTCTTCTTTCTTTATAAATGCAAGCACAACTGTAAGCTTAACCACTTATGCATTTCAACAGTATTACAAGAAATACGCCAAACATCCGTTCGCAACCACGATGGCTGAGGAAATCTTCCAATCGGGAATTATTCCATCCGATACAGATTTCCGCCAGTTCAATATGTACGGAAATATTCCCGGTAAGAATATTTAGCCAACACTTTTGACTTAACAATAATTTTTGCAAATATTCTTTAGGCTTGGATATGGCCCAGATTATTAACGGCTATGTCTACCATACCAAGTACGATCTTAGCTCCGTGATTCCTCGTGGATCTTTGCAGAACACTGGCGATAATTTACTTCAGCTCGTCCGTGGCTTGGCTAATGCAACCGAGATTAATGATATGGACGTAAGCGAATGAGCTAAACACTGATTTATGTGAATTATGCTTAAACTCTTACGTTTTTATTTCTAGGCTTATAAAACAGGTCATGCCGTCTTCTTTGATTTCTTGGGCCTTTACTTCGTCCATTATTCGGAAGGCACTGGAAGATCGATTAACTTTGGTGTTGCCGGAGCGGTCCTGATTTTCATTTTCATTTCAATGTGGCGCATGTCCGCCGTGTCCAATGCTTCCCTATGCAATGTGGCCAGCTGGTTCATATTGGTCATCATCGTCCAGATCATTTCCTTCGTACTTGGCCTGGCGCTGCCTGCTGTAGTAGCATATGGAATGGATGCTTTCGGTCTATCGCTGACATACTATAGCACGCCCTTGCTGGTGGTCGGTCTCTACGTGTGCCCCTCACTGATTGGTCTCAGTTTGCCCATCACCTTGTACTACTCTGTGCAGCGCAACGTGAGTTCATTCATTCCGCATTCTGTTGAACTTGAGCATATGCCAGTCAATTTTCCATTCGCAGGAGAAAATATCGAACGCCTACCATCTCCAGTTGGCGTTGCATAGTCAGGCCCTCATCCTAGCTCTCATAGTCATAGCTGCCACCGTCTATGGCGTGCGTACCACCTACATCTTCGTAATCCCACTGGCCAGCTATATGCTTTCCCTGGCCTTTAACTTGCTGACAACTCTGCACGATCGCGGCTACGCCTGGACGGGTGTGCTCAAGTTGAGCCAGGTGATTCCTTTCCTATACAGCAGCTACGTCATCTATACCTTCGTGGTGGTGCTGACCCCAATGGGTGCACGTGCAGGCAGTGCCTCGAATCGGGACTTGTACATTGCTGTGCTCGCAGCAGTGGGAAGTGTTCTCTCATTTGGATTCTTGGTAAGTTGAAAAATATCATTCTTTTTCTCCAGTAATACTAACGTATTTTCTCCAATCAGATTCCGCTCATCAACGCTTTCCGCAAACCCAGCCTCGTGGTTCTCTCCCTAGTTCTGGTGACTGCCATTTCTCTGTATCTCGCCAGCAGCACGCAAATCGGATTCCCCTATCGGCCCAAGACCAGTGGACAACGCGTTGCTTATTTGGTGAGAGTTTTATATTACCTATATGACTTATATTATCTTGTATATAACTCTTGGTATTATTTTTCATATTCCAGCAAGTGCGCAGCAAGTACTACGAGTACGATGGCACACTCAGTAAGGACTTCTCCGGATACCTGTTCAACTTCCAGGATAGGCGAGAGGACACGCCCTTCAAGGGCACAAAGGTTAATTTGACGGGATTGACTAGCATTAAATCAAAGTGCGAGCAGCACATGATGTGCGGCTTTCCCTTGTTTGATTACCGCTATGTTCAGAATAGACTTCAGAGCAAGTTCCTTAAACGAGATGAACCTGTACAAATACCAGAGCCACCCACAACATTGACCAAAATGGCCAAGACAAATATTAACGCAACAACCGTTCGCTTGGAATTCAACGTAACTGGACCCACCTACTTGAGCTTGTTCATAAAGCCCTATGAAGATGTGACTATCAGTGGATGGTCGTTTCTATCTAGCGAGCTGGCCAAGCCACCAAAGGCTCCGCTACCCTACCATATCTACGTAACACACGGTGTTGACATAACCCCATTGAACTTCTATGTGGATCTTACGGTAAGAGCCTCTTCAAGCAGTCTCACATTTCCATTGACACTAAATACTCTTCACTTTTTCACCTGTTGACCTGTAGAAAGCTGACGGCGACTTTGATGTGCCAGTGCTGCAGCTTGGAGTGTCTGGACATTACATTCAAAGTCCTGGAGATGCGGAGGCAGTCAAGTTTGCTTCGTCATTCCCCTCCTTCTGCATATTGGCGCAGTGGCCTGCGATATATCAACGCTACATATTTTAAATAGAACATTTATAAAGCTGATTCATTCACAATAATTATAACCAATAAAAGAATGTAGGCAAATATGAGGAGCAGTTGTTTGAATTGCTTATTGGAATGGTACACCGAGCACATTAGATTTTTGTTTTCGAGCTAATGGCTAAATATCATCAATAATTTACATTATGCTTTCCGCAGCGAGCCAAACAGTTTACCTTTTAAGCAAATTCCATTAGGAATAAGCAAGTCAATTAAATATAAACGGTTCCAACATGCAAGACCGCAAATAGAGAAGAGTAAATAGAATAAACATTGGAGCTACTAGAACGAGCGAAGAGCTTTGACTAATCAGTTCTCGTTTGCGCCCTTACGCAACGCGTCGAATCACGTTTGCCGAGTACTTGGATGAGCGCACAAGCAATAAAATTATAGAGAGCATCCGTACTAAGCATTTCAGATAAGATGTGTCTCAGAGCTGCCGCGTCTATTTCGCGCAAACTGAGGGATCAGTTGAGTTGGATGCGTCTTGAAGAGATGTTACGCGCTATTCGAAATCGCATTGATTCTTGTCAGAACAAGGTAGGGCTAAAGGATGATTCAATTAACAATGCCCATCATAATGGGTGATTAATTGTGGGTTACCTATCGACTGGAGTGATAAGAAATTCTAATGAAGCCAAAGAAATTATCAGTGCGCTAATTGGCTTTATCAGTAATTAAATGTGAGGCGAAGCTTTGTTTTTAATCAGTGTTCACTTATTGCTGAGCCATAAAAATACATATATTTTATATGTACCTATAGAGGCAATTTGTTATACTTACACATACTTTGGCACACGCATGCTGGAATGTTTATTTATGTTTGCCAAACTATTCAACACACTCTTTATAAATAAGCAAATCCATTACTTTTGTTTTGTGTATGCCGAGGAACGCCCTTGAACCGCTGGAACCATTGCTGGAATAATTTATACTCTAATGAGTGACTACATAAAGAAACAAGTAATTGCTGAAGAAAGATAGAACCTATAGAATTTGTTAGCATGAATGCTTAATTATAAGCTATGTTCTAGGTGATGTCATCAGCCGTGATGTTATGATTAGTATTTTATATCCAGACATCTAGAAGTAGTTTAGATCGGTAGCTGTTTCATTAAACACGTCTGTTTTTATTAACTCTTCCATTATACATTATGTTAGATTCGTGATGAGGCTGATGATGTTTCCAGCAATGCAACGAAAAATGATGGGAGTGCCAAAATACCTTGGTACTTTGCTAATGGGTTTCTGCTCTTCTGGGGACTGCTGTTTTTCGCCGCCGTGTTACCGTTCTTCTACCGGTTGCCTACGGCTCTAACAAACGAAGATGTTAACAAGAACGAATTCATTGCTGAACTTGCGTACGAGAATCTCTACACTCTCTCTAACATTGGCACCAAATTGACTGGCAGCAAGGAGAACGAGATCATCGCAGTAAATTTTATTCTCAATGAGTTGAACAAAATTGAAGAAAATCTGCAGGATGATTTTTTCGATATGGACATTGATATATCGCAAGCGGCCGGAGTTTTCCCATATGCTACAATGCTAAACATCTACCAAGGCGTTCAAAACATTGCTGTTAAATTAGCTCCGAAGAATAGCACAAGTCAAACCTATCTCCTGGTCAACAGCCACTTCGACTCGAAGCCCTTCACTCCGTCTGCCGGCGATGCAGGATTCATGATAGTCACGATGCTGGAGGTCTTACGTGTAATTGCCACAACAAAACAGACAATTGAGCATCCGATTGTATTTCTCTTTAATGGAGCTGAAGAAGGCATGATGCAAGCATCTCACGGCTTTGTCACTCAACATAAATGGGCTCCATATTGCAAGTAAGTTTTTCGTCAAACAGTCTCTAAAGTTCATAACTTATTTAACACAATTTTTATCGCAGAGCTGTTGTTAATCTTGATGCTGCTGGCAGTGGAGGTCGGGAAATTCTATTCCAAAGTGGTCCCAACAACCCCTGGCTTGTTGATGTAAGTTATCTGAAAAGTACTTACCCTTTATCAAATATAATTGCAATTATGTAAATTTATTCAAGTATTACAAAAAATACGCCAAACATCCGTTCGCAACCACGATGGCTGAGGAAATTTTCCAAGCTGGAATTATTCCATCCGATACAGATTTTCGGCAGTTCAATTTATATGGAAAAATTCCAGGTGAGTTGTTTTTTGTTGAAATTTTATTTGGAGTCCAGTAAATGATTTAATTGTAATAGGGCTGGACTTGGCGCAATGTTTCAATGGATATATCTACCATACCAAGTACGATCTTATCGATGTGATTCCACGTGAGTCTCTGCAGAATACCGGCGATAATGTGCTTAGTCTGGTTCGGGGATTGGCGAATGCAACTGAGTTAAGTGATAAATCGGTAAGTATAATGATAATACCCATAACTCTTCATTGTGATTATAGCCATCTCATCTCTTAGGCTCCCGGTCACGCAGTCTTCTTCGATTTCCTTGGCCTTTACTTTATCCATTATTCCGAGACCACGGGCATTCTTTTGAATTTGGCCATTGCCATAGCTACCCTTATTTTAATATCTGTTTCAATATGGCGCATGGCGAAGGTCTCCGACGAATCCGTTTCCCACGTGGCGTGCTGGTTTTCAGTGACCCTGATCGTTCAGGTTATTTCCTTTATTCTCGGACTGCTGTTCCCTGCAGTAGTGGCATGGTTTATGGATAGTTTGGGGCAATCGCTGACTTACTTTAGCTCCCCGATGCTGATTGTTGGCCTGTACGTGTGTCCCTCCCTGATCGGCCTGAGTTTGCCTTTGGTCATCTACTCTAGTATACATCGTAATGTAAGTTTATGGGCTCAAGCGTCTAGTTTATCATTCATTTACAATAGCTTCTATGTTCTAGAATAAGATCTCCACCGCTTATCACCTTCAACTGGCACTGCACAGCCACGCCGCCATCCTGTCTCTTCTCGTCATTTTTCTGACAGCCCTCGGCATACGGTCAACGTATGTTCTTGTGATTCCGCTGATGTTCTACTCACTGGCTCTGGCCATCAACTTGTTGACCACGCTACACGATCGTGGCTTTGCCTGGATCGCTCTGCTCAAGGCGGGGCAGCTAATTCCTTTCCTGTGCAGCAGCTACAGCTTTTACATATTTATTGTTGTGCTGACGCCAATGGGAGGACGTGCAGGTAGTGCCGCTAATCGCGACGTACTAATTGCGGTGCTGACAGCAGCTGGAACGGTTTTATCGTTTGGGTTCTTGGTAAACAGAGTCACTTATTATTATTGGGGCAATGCAGTAAAATATATTTTATATTTAGCTTCCGCTCATCAATATTTTCCGACGCCCCTGCTTTGTAATATACTCCTTGCTGGGAGTCACAGTTCTGGCTATGATCTTGGGCTGCTTCACCCCAATCGGCTTCCCTTATCGATCAAAGACCAACGGACATCGGGTTGCTTATCTGGTGAGTATTCCATATAGATTACATAGTATTTCTATTCAATATAATCGATTCGCCTTTCGATTTCAGCAAGTGCGTAACATGTTCTACGAGTACGATGGCACACTCAGCAAGGACGAGTCCGGCTACTTGTTTAGTTTTCAGGATCGCCGCGAAGAAAGGCCACTATTGGGCACCAAGGTCGATCTGACTGGTTTGGTTAGCATTAAGTCCAGATGCGAGACTGAAATGATGTGTGGCATGCCGCTGTACGATTATCGATTCACTAAAAGCAAACTGCAAAGCAAGTGGTTACCACGATCTGAGCCAATTGTACCACCTGAAATAAAGGGTCTGGCATTGCTCAATAAAACCATACTAAATGCTACCAATGTTCGCTTTGAATTCAACCTAACCGGACCCTCGCACATGAGTTTGTTTATCCAGCCCTACCATAATGTGAAGATAAGCAACTGGTCGTTCGATCCCAGCTATCTTAATATGCCTTCGCCATTCCACATCTATCTAACATATGGCATTGACAATTCTCCGTATAATTTCTTTGTGGAAGCATCGGTAATAAATACTATGAAGGTTTGCACGTTTCAACATAATAAATATAAATATTATTCATATATTTGCAGAGCTTCAACGGCGACCTGGGATTCCCTCTGTTTCAACTAGGAGTATCTGCGCATTTCATTGGAAACGAAGGAGATGCCCAAAGTGTGAAATTCGCATCTTCATTTCCGTCCTACTCAATTTTGGCCCAGTGGCCTGCATTATATAAGCGTTATGTGTTCTAAGTTTAAATACTCGTATGTGTTGTAAAATTCTCAAACAAAAAATCAATACAATTCAATTGTATAAAAAAAAAAAAAAAAAAAAAAAATTAAAAAATAAAAAAATATGTAAGTTT